TGCAACGTCCGAGCAGCGGCTCAGCCACAGAAATTTGAGACAACCTTAAACTATGAAAGCGCAGCGGGATCCTGGCACATTCACCGACCTGATGCAGCGGAGGGGAAGGGCCTAAATCCTAAAAGGGGCCAGGGCATGGAAAATGGCAAGCCTAAAGCAGCAACAGCAGCGTGCGCAGGCTGTGCCACACAACGTGCCGCTTGCCACGAGAGCACCCCGAATGCTGCAGCATTGCGGTTGTCTGCAAGAGGCGGAAAGACCATGCTGGGCTTGCAAAATAGCCCTCTCTAGCGATTAAAATCATCGGCATCAGCGGAAAAGTGGCGGGCACTAGCACACTCATGATGGCACCAACGGCGTTCTGCGTGCTCCCCTGAGGGGCACGAGGGTAGTGGAAACGGCGAGTATTTGTCCAAATTGCCACCCAGCCAAACGCTCTGCCCAGTTGTGTCCAGGTTGTAGTGTTCCAGACTGGATGGCTGGCACAATGGAGATCAACATCTAATTTCGGAAAGCAACATGCAAGGGGTGCGCGTGCTCAAGCCATGTCTCTGATTGTGGTAAGCGCGCTGAGGGCATCGCCACTTGTGTAGTTGGTATTAAAAGCCCCTGCTTGTGTTGCATTCGTGGGTGGGTGGATGTGATAGTGTAAGTGTTGAGTACCGCTTTATGTTTTTGGGCTTGGACATTACTATGCAAATGTGATCAGCTCAACCTATTCCAGCATATCCAACAAGCAAATTGTATGAAGTTATTCTCTGATTCTGTCAAATGCCTGCATGTCGCTAATAATGGAGTGTTGCATGGGTCTGTATACATTTTTCGAAAGTTTTCATCTTAGAGAAGATGCTTGGAATAGGGACTCAAATAAGGGAATACCTTCTGTAGGGATTGTATGCGGATTGTGTTCCCTCATTCCGACCCTCTACCCTAAACCCCAGACCTTATAGATATATGCATATATGTATACACATATACGTGTATATATATATATACACACACTCACTCCCTACTAACCACAGGGAAGCAATCAGGACTTGCAAGACAACAAAACACACAAAGCCAGAGTTTTGCGCCCACGGTCCCGGCTGACAAACAGAGGGATGGAGTCAGATTGTTGGTATGTTGCTCTTATGTATATACAAATAGATGTACATATATATATATACATATACAGTACCCCCTCCCTGTAAACCTACGTCTCCTGTGATATGTCAATGAATGTATATATATATATATGTGTATATATATAATGTCTATGCATACATATATACATATATGTGTGTGTGGTTACATGCATACATGTTTATATACATATATACATCTTTTACCATGGCGCTGCTCTTGACCCTTGTCCTGGAGAGTCATGCCTCGGTTTGATCTCCGACGTCCTACTGCGTATTTAGCTGTAGTCCCCCTACACCTAGAATGAAAACGATTGCTCTTCATAATTCCTTAGGGTTGCACCATAATAGGCACAACAAATCCTGAGGAGACTACAGTTAGCCGACCAACGCCAAGACACCATCACACAGCGGGGCACATGCTTGCCGGCACCCGTCCTTGACTCGATTGACAACACGACTAGATAGTTTCCCCCCTTGATAAACTCCATAGTAGTGCGCTATAAAAGCCCTTATATAACCCCTGTAGAGAGTAGAGCCTAGAGAGTACACCCAAATAGCAGGGACAACATTAATCTTGATGAGCCCAAAATGAGCACAGCAAGAATAAAAGGGTAGTCCTACTTAGAGGCTGATGGGACTTAGCAAGTAGGCTGTAGATGGGGCTAGTGGCAGGCCAACCTCGATTACGGGACTTCCACCCCCCTGTACAACATACTTACTAAGTCTGAACCTTCAAGTAAGACTGAGAGTATCAGGGCTGGACCTCAACGCTTTCACAATTGGATGACGCTGCCCGCTGGGACAGAAGATTCTTCCAAGCATCTAGACTCTATGCCCTAAAGCAAAAGTTCATCCAAGTCTCTCCGAAAAGAAGGTGTTGAAGGCATCCTGGCAAGAGGCTATTAGCTTGTACACAACTGGGAAGCCTTGGCAAGCCCATGTGTTGACATTGGTACCAGGCTTGGCTTTGAAGATGTGAGCTATAATCTAAACTCGTAGCATCCTCTTAATGATCCTTATAATACTCCCCGATATACTCCCCTATATATCCCAATTTAATGAGTTAAGGCTATAGCTCATGTAGAGTCCACATTCTACGGTTTAGGGTTCAGGGTTTGGGGTTTAGGGTTTTGGGGTTGTGGCCATTGCACCTTGGGTCCTATGTCTTTGAAGATTCTTGATAATGAAGCTTCAGCAACATTTGTTTAACCCAACTACATCTGATGAGGCTTCTCAAAATAGGGGGGTTCTAGAAGATCCTGGGATTACATGGGGATTGTACGAAGGAGATTATTGTGCGGCCCCATTCAGGGATGAAACATGTAGCGAATCTTCGGGCATTTCTTACATCACATTCAAGTGCCGTCTGGCAATTTGCAGGCTCTGACTTCAGTGGTGTTCACGTGGCATTTCCAGAAATGTTGGCAATCCCTAGTGAAGATGGTGTTTTTCTGGTGTGCGCGGAGGAGGTCCTGCTTTTGGAGGTACCTGCATGGAGCTGTCTCAAATTGAGTTTCTCCGTGGTCGAGATATTAAAGCCTGCAAGTAAGCCTCCTAGACATGACTTGTAGCAGGACGTGTCCCATTCTCGAACAAATGGATTCCAAATACAAATGGGATTTCCAAATAGATCATATATAGGGCACCACTCTATACCCCAGCATCATATAAAAGACCCGTAATGTTGGGAAACCCCCGCAAAATCTGAATCTGCTGCCGGGCTGCATCTCCGCCACCAATCCTTGGGGGAGCAAGTACCCAAATAGTATATAGAGTTTAGGGTCTGGGGGTTTAGGGGTGGGTTTAGGGTATAATATAGCCCCAACATTTCTATATGAAACCATTCGGGCCCGAAGTACATCCCATTTACATACTTGGGCCCTTGGGGTTGAGGTTGAGGCTTGACTTGGTGTGGGGATGTGGGGTTTAGAGTTTAGGGAGGGGACGTGCCTGTCAAGACCTACCCTAAGCCCCAAACCATATATAACCCCTATAATCCCCTATAGAGCCGCTTTAAAAGGTACCTATGAGACCCCTGTCCTAGGCTTCTTATTCCACCCGGGGGCCCTGACTGCTCTTGTGTGTCCAGCATCCTCCATATGGTCCCTAAACATAAGTATTTAAGGTATATGGAGGGTACCTGGAGGGTCTAGGTTCGTGTCTGCAGGATCCATTTCAGTTTTACAAGCATCTCGTTGCCTCAAAATTCTTTACCCAATTACTGCTTGTGAACGACAGCCAAATGTATTGCTTAAGAAGCCCAAACAAGCCTTCTCAATCTAGCCAAAACTTAGCTCTATAACATTCTTATACAAGGCGCTGGCAAAGCCTACAAAGACCAACTATGATTTCCTTAAAGCAGTTTCTAACCATGTCGCTCATCATTCCTTTGCAGTCCCCCAGACACCTAATTATACAGTTCTTCAAGTCATCACTAACTGTTCTTCCCCTCCAAAATAGCTAGCAAATGGATATCTGTTCTGAACCCTACATTAAGAGTCCATTCAGTAACTGAAGAATCTCAAGTTCCTAGCCGAGGGTCGTCTTGTCAGAAGGCATCTGCCCATCCGGCTGGATGCCGTGCTCCAGGCAGAAAAGCTCCCAGCAAGCATTGCCGATCTGCACACCGCCCTGGCACAGAGGCGTTTATGCAATAGGGTCTAGGGTTTGGGGGTTTGGGGGTTTAGGGTCTAGGGTTTAGGGGTTTATTAGGGTTTAGGGTTTTGGGTTAAGTGGCTGAAACAGGACTCAAGAGTACAAGGCTGTGAGTGGTGATAATGGTGATACTTGTGAATCGAAGCAAAAAACTCACTATGCTAGCCGCACGCGTGCTAGTTGTGAGAACGGCTGAGCACGGCACAGCAAGATCAAGCGAGCAGAGAAGAAAAACATTAGATGAGATGGAAGTTCCTCAAGCTCCCAAAGAAGATCCAAAACTGCCTCTTTTGAGAAAACTGGAAGACTTGAGCTGGGCTCAACTCCAAGACATCAGATTTCGATGGGGCGCATCTTCCGTATGCTCAGCACAAATGCAGCAAAGATAACTTCTGCTCCCAGGCAACTCATCATCCACAACATTCACAAAACTAGTATGGTTGCTATCGCATTCAAGTCCCATCGTTTTGTGTACTACTTGTTCAGTTCTTTCAGAACCAGCAGTTTCACCAAGCGCATGGCGCCTGGCCAATGTGGATGCAGATCGCCTCACGCATGGCTGCAAAGTTGGAAAGCGTCGGAAGTCACTTCGTGATGTAGTGGCCTCAGGCACGAATCCTGATTGAGCCAGCAGCGGTAAGAGCAAGGTCGCAGGCAGCAAGACAGCTGGACATGCTTGAAGATTCAGCATTAGATGGGCACTACTGTAGGCGTTAGTGCATCACTGCATGTTTTGCGATCTGTTCAACTGTCTCTAAGTGATCCCCCGCACTCGGGCACGATCTGCCCCTCTTGGGTATGAGCTTAGTTTTCCCATAAGGCATGTCTACATCTACACAGTGCAGCTGGGTTTAGGGTTTAGGGGATGGAAACTGATCAAGCCCTGGGCGATCCTTGAGCGGAGCATTATGGTACTTCAGGATCTCCTTATATTCACTAGGATCCTGACAGGATAGATTCAAGGTTGTAGGACTTGGCAATTGTGTAGGTTATTAGACGAAATCCCCAATCTAACCGCAATATAACCCCTATAAAGCCCATTATGGTAGTTTCCATGTTCCTTTCCGTTATCCCTATATAACCCCTATATAAACCAATGCCTGGTATTAGTGGGTTCAGAAGTCCAGGAGTCCTTCTGATTTAGGAGTTTAGGGATCTTTCTGGACTTCCAAGCAATGTCTGCTGCAGCCCTATAAACCCTAAAGCCCAAAACGCTGCCTGCGGGTCGAAGTCAGTAAAGCCCAATTCACCTACAAGGGTTTAGGGTTTAGGGTTATAGGGGTTTAGGGGTTTTGGGTTTAGGGGTTTAGGGTTTAGGGAGCAGAGGTCATGGGTAATTTCAATGCTACGGGAATATACAGGCGTGTAGAGGGGATACATACAGTGGATGGAAGAAATCTTGCACCATTTAAGAGCCGCAAGATAGTGTAATCATTGGGGTATAGGGCATATAAGCTCGTGAAGGATTTCCTCCGTCCACAGTAGCGTCGTAGGCAGTATGTGAGGTTATATACGGAATATACGGGCACATTACCCAAAGAATGGAAAACAACGGTTAAAATGAGACCCTTAACCCTCAACTCTACAGCCTCAAACCCTAGAAGCTACAACTTAGGGTTGAGGGCGTAGGACTTCCATCCCGACTGCCCCTATATTACCCTGTATAACCCTATACTACCCTGGTCTGGTTCCGGGCTCTTTGCGCTTTGTGTTAGGCTTGCTTGTGCATGGAGTGCTTGAGGGGGGCAGCCTGCTTCATGCATCAATAACGGACAGCAATGGAAAAGAATACAAAACATGAAACGGATACTGCCATTAAGCGTTTAGGGTAACTTCCTATAGCCACTGCTCGTACGAGCTTTCCGCCGGCTTTCGCATCCGCGTGTCAGCTAGGCTGACGCCGCCAAACGCTTGACTACTATGCCTGACTCACCATCAAGGCACTTGAAGGCTACATACATTCCCGGCTCTCCTGAAGGAGAGCCTTATTACCTAGATGGGACACTACCACCCTCATCGTTACCTGAATATGAGGTTCCCTAACTCAAGCAACCATGCTCCGGAAGTTGACAAGCAGGATTCCCCATCCCCCCCACCCTCCACCAGCAAAGTAGCCAACGTGCTTCCAAGCGGCGCAGGACCTCAAAATCCACATAGGTGTCGAGTCTTTGCAAACCTTGCACTTATCAAGATAACAGCTTATACAGCAGCTACTTGACATCCATGGCTTCTTAAGCCATCCCAATAATCAATTGATACTTCTTCTGAATGGGAGCGAAATACGATCGGCTTGTAGTCTGTACCATTCGTAAGCATACTGTAAAATGTGTAGTCGCATGAACAGCCGCATCATGTCGCTGTCTTGGCGTTCGGACAGTACTTCACCGCAGCACACGAATGTCCTTGGAGGTCGATGTCCTGCGGCATGTTCAGCTTTGGGAACCAGATGCTTCAAGCGCTAAATAAAAGCGGCCAAAGTTAAATGGAAGCAGCCAAAGCTGCGGAAATAAACTTGGCAACAATATACCTGCACAGTCTCCAGGGAGTCTTGCCGATCACAACGAGCGCCCCTTCAGTTGAGCACCAAGTGGAACACTGCTGTATTCAAGCGTGGCTTGCAAATGCCTATCCTGAGACTGATCCAGTTCAGGTCCCGTCCACAATGTCTCTCATCCAGAAAATGCCAATGCCATGCTAGCCAATCTGAGGGTAAGATGAACTTAAGCCCTTTCTTGCAGGAGGCCAGCGCAGAAAGCACTGGCTAGCAGCTGATGCCAGATTCAAAAGCGTTGCCGGGCTCCTGCAGCTCACCCAGGTCTCCCATGATCACGGTGTCCGTATCGATGTAAATGAGCCTCAGTGATGTGGACATGTGCAGAAATCACAGCTTTTGCTCTGGAGCCGGTACAGAACTAGGACGTGTGTCGACAGGAAATTGCTGCAACGAGAAATTCTCCATACATGCGGTGTGCTGGAAATCGATGGACTGCCATGCTTAGTAACTGGACCTGCCATATCATAAAAATGATGGTGTATATGGGCCATAGTTGTGGGTGTGTGGAGATAGTCGAGGCAGTACTCTGGCAGCACGCGGCCCGATGTCTTGCCGCTTTCGTAAATATGCCGGAGAAAAAAGGAAAGAATACAGAGCATGTCATGAACACTGAGGTTATACGTGGGCTGTATCGGTTTTCGTATAATACAAGAAGACAGCTTGGCCCCAGCATAAGAGTAAAAGCATGAGGCCCAAAGATCACATTGTACAGGTAGCTCTGGGCAACACTTCTCCACAAGAGTCATCCAAACAAACCTACGCTCCAAAATCCTGGAGCCCTAAGCCCTAAAACCCTGAACTATCCTAAACCCTAAACCCAGGGTTGTGGGAGTTTCAGAGGTTCCCTACTACCCTCCCCTTTTTTTCCAAAGCTTATGTTGGGCTAACTAAAGCCATTTTAGGGGGGTGGGGGAACCTAAGGGGGTGTAATAGGCGGGCCCATGAAACACCCTCAGCGCTTCCAAAAGCCACCCAGCTTCCGTCTCGGAGGCTCCTCGCCTTTACTCAAAGTGGGTTTGAACTTTGCTTGATCAGGTTGGGCCTGTTCATAGACATCTAAGGGGTTGAATAGCCTTAGGGTTTCAGGCTTTGCGTGTGTACGGGTTTAGGTTCAGGGTTTCTTGGCTTGGGGTATGCGCACGGCTTTTTAAGTAATCTCCGCAGTCTGGATCAGTACCCGACAAACAGGGTGCCAAAACGCCTTTCTTGAATCTGACACATGCTCATGTTCTTGAATAGACGGCCCTAAGGCATTCAAAGCCCAGTCCCTAGGTTTAGAGGTTGGGGATTAGGGTTTAGGGTATAGGGTTGTCAAAACAATGTGCTCTCAAAGGGGACAGATGCCTTACCCAGCTGGTCTGCCCTCGGCCCTAGTCGAGTGAGGAGTAGCATGCTTCTTGTTTCCAGAGTTCCCATATTGGGGCCTTAGGTGCTATAGCATTTTTTGCGGCGTATACGCGGACCTTAACTTGCTATAGCTTCATTGGAAACCCTGAGGATCCAAGTCTATACTTATCACTTCTTTGAGCCCTAGAGGCTATACATGATACCTGCTTGGATCCTGTAGGGGAAGGTGAACTCATCCCAAGCAATGGAACAAGGAAGCCCGAGCATCAAGAGCTACGCATCTGGTCTTCTACTACCACAAGAGGCCACTGCACTGACTGCTACTACCACTACTCCGACTCCTACTACTCCTCCTCCTAGTCCCACCACTCCTACCACACCTACTGCTCCAACTACTCCTCCTCCTTCTCCTCCTACTACTCCTCCTCCTTCTCCTCCTCCTACTACTATTACTGTTACTCGTAAGATTCCTGCAAATCCAAGCCAAGCAATCGATCCAGTTGGCCTTCCTTCACATACTCGTGGAGGTAGAACGGCCTTGTCGCCCAGGCAAGCCCCACAGAGTTCCGGGTTTTATTGCCATTATTCTTAAGAGAGCTAGTATTGTTGCGACTATTATGGCTGCTAGATGCTGCTAGTAGTATGCTTGGGACATTAAAAACTACAGAAGAGTCGTGACAATACGGCACACCGTTCAACGCCAGAGGCCTCGAAATGTCTCCGAGTGCCGCGCGCAAAGTTGAAAGGGCTTGCCAACACCTTCCTCGCCTTATACGGGGAAGGCAGGGGTGAGGGTGCAAGAATGTAATCGTTGTTACAAGTCCCGAGTATAATACGTAACGCGACCCCTAATGCTTAGGACCTTCAGGACTTTCAGGACATTCCAAGAAAAGGGCTTAGAGTCTGGACCACGCCCCATGTGTAGGATAAAACTTCGGGATGTACCCATTGGCAAATAGCCGGGGAGAGAACCTGTTTTCATGAAGTAGACATCTACAAATACTACCAGCAAAAATGACAATAATATTAACAGTAGTAGAATTAATTGATAATAGTAATATTGATAGTAATGATAAAAACCGGATTAATGATGGTAATGATAAGAATAGTGATGATAACGCTAATAATCAGGTGTTGCACAATGAGGCGCAGCTTGATAGGTCCGAGCCAAACAACAACTCCCGCCTACTCTGAAGCAGACGCAAAGCTCTGATATCTTGTCGTTGGAAGTTGATTTTCCCAGCTGACTCTCTTTCCCTGCTGTGTATACATATATATATATATTCTTGTTTTTTGCCCTAAACCCTAAACCCTAAACCCCAAACTCTAAATCCCTAAACCCCAAACCCTAAACCTCTCTCTTTTCTCTCCCTCTCTCTGTGACCAAAACTGCGCACGCTGGCCTTTGAGGACTTGCGAAAGCTGATGTGCGACCTTAGGGTAGGTTTGGGGGTTTGAGGGTTTTGGGTTTTGAGGGTTTCGGGGTTTTAGGGTTTTGGGTTTTTAGGGTTTAGTGGTTTTAGGGTTCTAGGGTTTTAGGGCTTTGTGGTTTTAGGGTTTTAGGGTTCTAGGGTCTTAGGGTTTTAGGGTTTAAGGTTCAGGGTAGTTTCCCTGAGGGTCCAAGTACACGATAATTGTCCAAGTGCCGAATTATTAGGTCCTTGTAAAGGGGATTATAGGGATACACAATGTTTATGGTTTAAGGCCCTAGGGGCCCAAGAACACAATGATTGGGTACTTAGGATTTGGGTAATAGTAATTGTAGCACAGGTGGCGGGGAAGTATATGATTATGTCATACCTAAACCCTCAGGGTTTGAGGGACCCCACGAAAATACTGAGCCGCTGGGCACTGCCCCAGAGTGCATGTGTCAATGGCAAAAGCTGAACGTTAGCAAATGTTACAGAGCTAACGTGGGCTAGCTGTTTTGAGTGGGGGCAGAAATCGAAACATCCAAAGAATGCCCCCAAACATGCGAGGTTTCCTTGACTGGGTTCCGCCACTAAGACCACAACCTCCAAATTAAACCCTGAAACCAAGGTCTTAAGGGCTTCCAACTAACCAGCGCAAAGCTCTGAAAGGCAAAGCAGAGCTTCTACAAGCTGCCTCCTCTTCATGATATGATGACCGCTTGGGAAGTCAACTTCCCATATGAGTTGTTCTCAAAATTGTGGGTCATTTTTGGCTGTAGATTCTATTACGGCACCTACTATTTAGGGTACCAAAATGGGATCCTAAACACCTACCTGGCGCCCTCATCCTGCCCTGTTAAACTAGTTGACGAGGCATGGATTCTTAAAGACTATGATGACCTTCACCACCTTGTGGGGGCAAAATTCCAAATGAGCTTCACAAGAATGATCTGGCCCCAACTCTCCCTGCAAAGGGCAACCCTCAACCCCAAAACCTGGATACGGCCCCCACTCAGCAACAATTGGATAAGAAGCATAACATAAATATATCAAGCCTATAATGTTGCTTATATTATAGACTGTTGCAGGGTGGGGGCAGTACCCAAGCCCTACCAAACATCCCAGTGCCCATGCAATTTATGTAATGCTTTATTTGGTTTTCCTATTGATTCCCCTTCATTGGGTGACTTACCCTAAACCCTAAACCTTTCATTGGGTGATATACCCTAAACCCTAAACCCCTAAACCTTGAGCCCAGCTGCGCGATCCGTTCCTGGAGAAGCTGATCTGCCACAACCTTGGAAAGATACTGGTTACCTAGGTATAGTCCCCCTTAAGTAGATAGAACATGAGGTACATGGGGATCTTATTATAGTAGACCCAAAGCCATATTCTATCTACTCAAGGGGGACTATACGTAGGTTTATGGTGATTCTACAGGCAATATAGGGTTGGTTAGAGACGGGATAAAAACGATTCTATTGGGGCTATGTAAGGGCTGTGTTGGGATTATGTGTGTGTTTCGGGGGAAAACCGTCAGAATGGAGATTCAGAAGGAAAACAGCATGAAAATTCAGATAGAGGGCTTTAGGATTTAATGCAGGTCTGCTGTGAAACACGTGCCTTACCCCTCATATAACCTTCGGGCTCCAAATAACTCAAAGTAGGGAATATTTCCAGACTTCAGGGGCCAAGGTAGGAATTCTTCATTGTGTTTAGGCCAGCATTATGGTGATTATAGATGGTTGTGGGGGTCCCTCTGCCGGCTTGTATGCGGGATGAAATGGAAAACCCCTGCAGGGTGGAGTATCACGGTTCAATGCGAATCTCATCAAATTTCAGTACCGACCGTTGTCTATGCAAACCTGCGCAGAAAGTTGCACCTGTTGCATATCAGAGGTCAATGGATGACTCATCGGGGATGAGGGTGGGATGCAGGAATGGCTGGGCGGCCAGAACCCTAAAACCCTTAGACTCAGACCCTAAACCCCAAGCCTATCCAGATCCTCTTATGTAAGTCCGTTATTGGGTACTATATTATATACCCCCAGAAGGAACTACATAGGAGCCCTTAGGTAAACTCCAAGCCTCAACCCAAAGCAGCGAAACCTTATCAGCACTGAACCCAAAACCCAAAGCACTAACCAGCCCAAACCCTAAACCCTAAACCCCTAAACCGTAAACCCCTGAAACCCTAAACCCCAAACCCCTAAACCCTAAACCCCTAAACCCTCAACCCACCCCAAGCCCTCAGCAGCCCTGAATCTGAACTTTGCCTTCACATCAATGTCCGCCAGGTGCGCACCTTTGTAGGGTGTGGATAAACAACATGTACGACATCATTTAGGTTTAGGTGGAGGACGAATCTACCACAAGAGGTGGTCAGCAGGAAATCTTTGTTTAAAAAGGAAACTACTACAATCTACTTCATTGCGTTTGGGCTTTACAGCTTACTGATGCTTACTAGGGAACCAGGTAATGATTATGAAGACTATTCTGGAACCCTAAACCCTAAACCCTGGAAGGTTCTATAGGGATTGCTGCAGGGATCCATTCCTGCCTCCATCCTCACTGACCACCAATAACATGGGTTGCTGTTGATGAACTTAGTTTAAGTTACTATATTATCCACCATAATGGAGAATCAAATGGAAAAGAACATGGAACATGAAATGGAAACTGGGGGAATATAGGGATTAAGGAACTTAATTTAAGTTACTATACTGGGGATCGCATATAAATTGCTATATCTACCCACTATGGTAAGTTAGTTTAAGTTCCTTAACACCAACCCAGTAACTTATATAGGGTTTGGGGTTTAATGGTTGTTTCCTGAAGGCAATCCGCGCTTTCCAACAAGAGGAGAGCGTCAAAGCCCTTCTTGTAGAAGCAGCAGCATTTCCAGCCAACCGCCCATTCGGATAAGAACGCTGAACCTTGCATTCAAAAAAACGGGTAGTTTCTCTAAATAAGGGGGCCCCAATATAGACCCCAATATACTATAATCCTTGATATGGGGAACCCCTAAAATGGTACCCCAAAAATTTTGGGAAACCTCCAAATGTCGGCCCCTCTAAGCAAAGGAAAAGGATTCTGGAAGAAGATTCGCCAGTGGATCGCCTCTAAGCCAACACATGGCTACTTACAAGTAGGGTGAGAGACAGTATAGGGATTGTGTAGGAAGGCATAGGAAAATGCGTAGAGTCGGTTTTTCAGGGCTATAAGTGCCCCAAATCGGTGCTAGCCACCTGGCAACGCCGGCCACGCTTACCCATGAAACTCCTAGAAAATCAACGTGCATGGGCAAAACTTCAAAGGTCAGAAATTAGCAGAGCGCGAAGTGATAGGCTCAGGCTAAGGCGAGTAAGCTCTTGAAACACAGGCACCTTAGCTGTGAGTTTGTTTTTTTTTGGTGGTTGGTGATGCGCCGTCTGGTGCAAATAGTGCAGAAGCCTAAGCAATTACCAATACATCTGAGGTACTGTATACCATAAACGTGTTTCTTAAATATCTCCAGCTATAAAATTGGTAGTGGTTGGAATCATTAGGCACCTGTAGTATCTCCGGCATTCTTTCAGAAGCAAGGAAGGAAGGTCAACTCTGCGCAAGGTAAGGATACTTTAGGGTTTAGGGGTTTCCTTCAGAATGTAAGGATACCTTAGGGTTTTTGGGTTAGGATTTAGGGGTTAGGGTGTAGGGTTAGGGTTTCGGGCTTAGGGTTGATACTTTCCCTGAAGGTCCAAGTATCCAATAACAATATACTTGCCCCCAAACCTGCACTAGAACTATTATTCTTATCCAAATCACAGGTATAACAGTATTGTGTACTTGGACCCTTGAGGTTTAGTATGAGGGTTGAGGGTTGAGGGAGCCCTAAGGAGACTCCACACATGGAGGTGCCATGTTAGGAGACCACATTAGACCTCGCGGAGTCTTAGGGAGGACTTACGAATTCCTTGATTATTAGTGACTACGACACCATTTTGGATTATATTAGGATCCGTAATATTCCTAATATACCAAAATTAGTAGGTAGGGGCCCCAACCCACATGATGCTACGAAGGATGAGATCGGATGAGAACAGTAATGGAGAGCCACATGGATAATATCATGGACGCTGAGATGGAACCTGAGTTGAATACGTATGTATGGGGAGTGCAAGGTAAGGGCCTACTTGAATTCAACATTTTGGTACTTCACGACAAGTTTGAAAGGTTAGAAACACGAGATATTGGTAATCCTCCATGCTTCCAAACCCCAAACCCTGAACCCTAAGTAATAGTTTCCATCTACTTTCAACCCCAAGATAAGCCTAATATTGCCCCCATGGGAATCTATATCCTTTTTGGTAAGCA